AATACATGGTCCTTTTAAATTGTGAAGGAGAACTGGTACCCTTTCATTACTCAAAACTTCCCATGTTTTATAAAATTATATTATGAAAAAAAAATATTACTATTCAAACAATAATTAAATTATAAATTACCAATTGTGGGAGGAATTGTGAAAATTTTTCAAATAGTGTGATATTAACAATTACGTCGAATTCTAATTAACATTAAATATCGAAATTATTCTAAATATAACATACAAATATTCAATTTAATATTAAATTTTCGCAAGAAGATCTCCGTGGTCAACCATAAATGAGAATTTTAAAGAAAATCGTGCCTAAAAATATTATAAATTTTACAGTTGATATATAAAATCAACTTTGAATAAAGATCGGCAGGGAAATTGTTTGAGGGGTTTATAAGAACCAGATTGCAGGGAGCTATTTCGGCAGCGGGATCCTTGAAGACAAGCAGTTCGGATACAGGGAAGTTAGATCTACTATCGACGCGTTGAGCGAAATCACCAGAATTATTGGCTCTGCAGCAACTGGTAACAGGAAAATAGCTCTATTAGTAACACTAAGTTTCAAGAACGCTTTCAACTCAGCAAGATGAATTGATATAAACAACGTACTTCAACATGAATTTAATATTTCTGGATAATAGACGACTACTTGAGGGATCGCAGCCTGATTTACGAAACAGAGAACAGAACTAGGAGAAGGAAATAACGGCAGGAGAGGCTCACGGATCAGTGTTGGGTCCAGATCTTTGGAATGTCATGTACGAGTGATTGACGATTGGAGGTGGCAGTGAGATAGTAGTCATTACCAAGAGAAGAATACCAACCAACATATCATTTCAGGCTGGCATGGAAATTATTCGAACAAAGGAGGCAGTTAAATATTTGGGAATAAACTTGGATACAAGATTGGGCTTCTGACAGCATATCTAACAGGCGGCAGATGGGGTCGCAACTGTAACGAAGCAACTAAGCAGATTAATGGCAAACATTGGTGGTCTGGCGCCTTTTAAGAGGCGATTAGATTACGGAAGTGTGGGCAGACGCACTTAACAAAGAATATTGCAGGAAGCGCTTATCGTCGGTACAACCTAGAGGAGCTTTACCTTCGACCCGATCCTATCGCACAGGTTCGATTGATTTGCTAGCGCTAGAAAAAATAAAAATCTACACAAGAAATCAAAACATCACCAAAGAAGAAGCGGCAGCGGAGGCGAGAGTACAGACGATGGAGATATGGAAGGGACGCTGGTGCAACAACTACAGAAGTAGATGGAGAGCTAGATTGATACCTGACCTCGACAGGTGGGTTGGGCGTGGGTATAGTGAAGTTAATTTTTACATCACGAAGTTTTTGTTGGGTCATGGATATTTTCAGGTTACCTACACAGAATGGGGAAAGCAGCATTGCGGAAACTGAACGGCGAGTTTTAGAAACAGCCAACGCAATTATGACTCCGGAGAATATCTTGGGACAAATGCTAGAGAGCGAGGATAATTGAATCGTAATAGCGAAATACATAGAAGTAGTGTTACGCAAGAAGAAGAGACTGAAATACTCCGCGGAAGCAGACGAGGTAGAAGCGACATAATTTAAGGCGTGAAAAATTAAAAAGAGGAGAATTAAAAAGGAAGATAGGTTTTATAACGAAAAAGAACAGCACGGTCCAATCTGAAGTAATGCGAAGAGCGGTTCCGGATTGGATTCACCATGGGATGGGGGGTGTTTTTATCGGTATTTATATTGTATTATATTGGCATTTTGACTCTTGGAACAACAGAAACTTTGCAAATATCTTGACTTATTGATTTGAGAAGTAAAATCTGGCTGTTAAAACCATTCGATAGGGCCATCTGAGTTATCCTAGTAAGAGTGGGCATACTTTTCAATAGGAAGCAGTGAGAATATAAAATTACAAATGCTGAATTAATAATTTCAAATAATAATTGTAATATATAAATATATATCTCCATATATGTGTGTTGTGTGTACAAACAAGTGAATTTCATTTGTATGTATATATAGAAACATTTACAAACAAATTTTTTTTAGCCGCAACTAATAAATAAAGTACAATATTTTCATTTTTCCCATTAACTTTTTTTTTGTTTAAAAAGAGTGCTTTCTAAAGAAAGTAATTTTCTATATAGGATGAATTCTTATTTTTCACACATACTTATATGCACATGCTCAATAAAAAAAAAATTTTTTGTTTTCTAAAATTGTAATTGGAAATAAAACATTTTTATGGTCGAAATATTATTTCGAAAATTATTCGAATTTCAAATTACATACACACTAACATTGATTTAAGTGTTAATTTATTGTTAAAAGAATTTGATTAGTTACTTATAACGGAATTATAAATGTAGAAGAGGAAACTCAAGAACAGTATTGGGAAAACAGTATATCAAATTATGACTAAACTGAATTCAGCAATTTATACATAGCCGAGCTGAATAGAGTTTTAATGCAATTTAACGCAAAATATTGTGTAGAATGGGAAATAACGCATTGTGAAGATTTAAGAATCTTGACCCATATTTCAGTACTATTTAATATTAAGGATTTTTATGTATGTTTTCAAAAATGAATAAGCCTGGTATTGTACATATATGAAAATTATTATTTAAGAAGAATATTTTATAGGCGATAGTTCAATCATAAAGCAATTCTTTTCAATTGTGGAAAATTTTTGCGAATTCTAAATTTTATGCATTATTATTAACATGTACTAATCTACAATTCAACTGATTTATAAATCATTTGGAAGATTTTACTATGAGATTAACGAGTTCAAAATTGTGTGCATTATTATTAAAAAGTCCTTAACTACCAGTCTTTAAAACTGAACTACAGTTCTTAAAACTGAACTTAAGCCCTTAAAACTAAACTACAAATTAATGGAATCGTAGTTATTTAAACAAATTGAGAAATTTATTCTTCTCTGTAACAAATGTCTTAATACTCTTAATGCTATTTCCTTCTTTAAAATATAATGCTGACATAATAATGTACGAGTAGATAACTTATGAATATAATCATTAGGTAGGGTATGATTATTATTAATATTAATGTATATACTTATATGGATTTTTAAAGAATATACTTCCTGCACTAAAATATTTAGGTATACACAAATAAATATATTTATATATATAATATAAATGTGCATGTAGAAAAAATTCTTTACATATATAGAATTGTCCGAAATCGGTCATTTTTAAAATAAGAAAAGGAAAACCAAATTCAATAGCAATAAAAACAAAAAATCATCTTTAAAAGTTCGAAAAATCAACAAAACGTTAAAAAATTTAATTTTTGCTTTTATTTCCTTATCCATACATACATATATATATGCAGATGGTAAAAAAATTAAGCTATAAAAATGAAAATTTCTTTTTATTAAAGAATCTACAAAGAAAATGCATTAAATTGCATTCAACATTATCTCCTATGGTATATGTGTATATGTATTTAAAATTTTAAATTCATTGAAAATAATTTCACGTTTTTAAAAATTCAGAAATTATAAAATTTAAACACATAGAGAAAATTCGTGTCTTTTTTTGTTTATAAAGTAAACAAAAAAGAAAACCCAACACGATTTAAGTTTTTTGATGGTTGATTAATGTGTAAATATAAGTTAGCTCGTGACTTTTAAAAATATATTGTACATTTAAAGTTAAATTATAATAAAACAAAAAGAAAATTATCTGACCTGAATCCTAGACATTCTTATATTCTAGTATTTTAATACCAAATCTATACGATAAAAAAAAATTTTAATAATAAAAATTTTTTAACACTCTAAATTTTACAAAATTTAGATAAATTGATGATATTATTTCCTGTAATATCCTGTATTATTTAATATACTATATATATCCCAAATATTCTTGTTGTACAAAGGAAATATTCGAAATTTCTTCCCAAAAATTATTAATAAATAAATTGTGAATTAGAAAAGTGAAACGGAAAATTTCAAAAATATTTTTATAAATGCAATAATTTATGGGAATTTACAAATAATTTCAATAAATTATTGGTAAATTATAATTCAAGGAATGTACTCCTATTATGAATTTTCCCTATTTACTATAGAGCATTTAATAATTATTTGAAATATAGAAAATATGCCAATGCGAAAATAGAATTGAACCCATATATCACGGATATTATAAAGTATTATAATTAAAAAATATAAAAGTATTAAAACCACAGAAAGAAAAAAAAATATTCCTGTACACATATATGTATGCAGCTATAAAAGATTAAATTATTAAAATGGTTTTCAATAATATTCTAAACAAATTCAAATGAAATTACATTTTTGATAAAAAAAAAATCTTTTTTTTTTTTTTTTTCCAAAAGACCAATATTGTATTTTATTTGGTTTTTATTATGCTACTCTTAAAATCAGTTTAAAATTTTAAACCACAAAATATTATTTGTTTGTGGTAATCGGTAAAATCTACAACAATTTTTTTTTTGTATTTTTTTTTTCTCTCTCTCTGTCTCTCACTCAGTATGTGTCCCTTATAATAAGTATATTTGCTTTGCATCAATGAAAATGAAATTAGTACTTAAATTCTTTTTAAAAATTAATAATTCAAAGTAATTATTATATTATGTATATGGAATAAAATAATTTTGTGAAATAGAATTTTAATATCTAATACACATAATGTATGTAAGTAAGTACCTATATAATATATATAAAATTCAAATAAATTTATTGCATTTCATCACAAAAATTTTTGATATATGTATAAGGATTAATTTAAAGGAAAATTGCAAATAATATATATGACTTTATTATATATATTATTATACATATATATAAATTAAGTTTATTGGTAATTTTATGTTTCATATATATATCTATATATATATATATATATACAAATGCATATAATTATACATTTATCAGTGCAATTTTCAACCATGCATTATGAAAAATTGAAAAATTTCTCATTTTATAAAAAAATATTTTTACCTTATAATCATTTAAATTATTCCTTCATTTTTAGCTTTAAAAATGATTACAATAAAATTTGTAAGAGATTTGAAGAGCAATTTTTATAATTCTTATTCCACATATTATGTATAATGTATATAAGTAAATAGTATGTACTTATAATTCTTGTTTAATTTTTCATGTACATATTTTAAATGTTTGCAAAAAAAAAAAAGATTTAAAACCAAAATTTTTTAACTTTTTATATACCAATACTTCATATATATACATATATCTTTATTTATATATGTATATCCATATATTATACACAATAATAATAATATATTAACAATATTTTCTCACAAATATTTTCTTCTTTTCACGTACCATTTGTATATTATCATTTTAATCACACAAAGTTGCACATTTGGCTATCATTTTTATATTTAATATATCCTTTTCAATTTTCAATTTACCCTTATATTGTATATATATATATATTTATTTTATTCAATTCAATTTTAAAATGAAACAAAAAAAAAAAGAAGAAGGTGTTCGCGCGTTACGGTATACAAAATGAAAAAACGCGTGAAGAAAAAAACTACATATATTCTTTTTTTATCTTTTCTTTTCTTTTTTTTTTTTACAAATATATTAAATAGAGAAGAATGCGTTAAATACGATTACAACCATCTTTTTAAGTAAGTCAAATAGAACTAAAAATGTTTTTCTTAAAGCATATACAACAAAATAAATTTCAAAAGTACTAAATCAGACGTCTCATGTTTCAAAACTAAAAAAAAAAAAAATTGGTGAAAAATATTTTCGAAAAGCGTACATATAGGATTCTCTCTCGTTTTTAATACATAAATACAGAAATATAATATAAATATGTACATATATAAAAAAAAAGTTTTCATTTTTACGATATAACCCCAATTTGTAATTTTATGTACCTACATTATTATATTGACAAGAAGGAAAAGATTAGACTGCTCTTCCATTGTTTTTATAGACATACATATATATAATATAAATATGATAGTAATATGCGAGCCAAAATATGATATTAGAAATTTTGAAAATATTAATTAATTTAATTATTTATGATTTTAATTTATACTATTAATGTAAATTGTTGTTTAATTAAAAATAGGTCCGATATGTGCAACTGAAATAATAAAAAACTGAAATTTAAATTAAAAAAAAATCATTTTACTATAAATAAATAAAATATATTATGATCTAAACCTTACCTAATCTTTTAAAAAATACATAACCTTAAAAAATACAATAACAAAAGCTCTTAAGCTTTTTAATCACTATAATATTATACTCCCTTTTCTATACTACAAATCTACTCTCTTTGAGAATATTTACTGTACCATCACTGGCTGACATAATTCTTATAATAAAAAAAAAAAAAAAACAAAAAAACAGATAAATTGAATACAATTCTGAAGGAAAATGCGAAAATTCACGAAGGATTGAAAATCTAAAAAATATTACGAAGATTCCCTCTATTCATGCGGAATAAAGAGAGTAACATAAATATTAGTAATAATGTTTCCAACCTACAAATTTTTGTATATATGTATAATTCATGAGTATATAGTGGACTTTGTATACAAGATTTCAGTACTAAAAACGAAAAAAAATAAAACATAGATTTGATAAATATTTTGTACATACGTGCATACATACATACAATAAAATTATGTTGTTTCGTCATTGTTCCAAATAAAATTTTCGACTATTTCTGGGGAATGAAATTTATTACTCCTTTTCATTTTTATATATTATATTGTACATATAATTTTATATTGTTGTCATTTACGGCTGCTTTTTAAAACATGAGCATTTTTTTTTAATAGTTCTGTAATTTTTATTAATATTGCATTACAAACAATATTTTGTATTTTAAAAAGTATATCATTACCAAAAAAAAAATTTAAAAATTAAATATTATATACTTAGGTTTGTGTGTATGTAAACAAATGTTTATATCGTAAAATAAAAAATCTAACTTTATTGAATTTCTGTCAAAATAAGAACAAATGTTTGCATGTATGTATCTTGTGATATCAACGGTCAGTAATATTACAATAAATGTTCGTAATTTTTGGATGGAAAAATTGTTTGATATTTTTACAATAATTAGAAAAATATTGTAATATTAATGAATCAATAAAAAGTAAATGCATAGAATTAAAAAAAAATTGAATTAAAACTCATTTTATTTTTTAAGCTAATGAGCATTGGCTTATACTTTATTTCATCCTATAATTATGCAAATAGAAAATGTGATATTAATATGATTAACCCTCGTTGGAGAACAAGCAAATTTATTCACAGCAAAGATTTTGCAGAGATTCAACTCCGAAAGTCCTAAATATGCTTAGGAATAGTATAGGGAGTGGTTTTATTTGTAAAACGCTTTTTGTACATTTATTTTCGACGTAAAAATTTTAAGCTATCTACCGGAATGAATTTACGTATAACTTTTACGTATACTCTATTGACGTAAAGAGTAAAAGGAAAAAAATTTATTTGGTTGTGGCCTTATTTCGCAATTGTATAGTACATTCTGATAACGTGCAATTTAGATAGTTTCAAATAGTTTAACATATACGCATAAAAACGATTGAGCCGGGATATTAATTGCTATTAAAACTGTAGTAATAGGGTAACTGTAGTAATAGGAAAAATGTGAGGCGACTTCATAATTATTTACAACTACGTTGTTAATAACTGCAATTTAACAAAATTGATATAAGTTCCCGCTAAAGTTAATTTTATAAATGTGATTGACTATCAAATTATTAATTTTAATCAAATTATTAGAACCTTACCCGTATATATGACGATTTCGTACATACATACATTGTTACTCTAAAGATCCAAATTTTGTTCAGCGTCACATTTTTTAATGAAAGCTTTTACGATATAATATAAGTACATAAAAAGGAGAAAATATTTTATTTATTTTTTACTCCTTGAAAATGACTTGCGCACATTTTGTATATGCTTCGGAAAAATATGAGATAATATTCTAAAACTAAAAAACACAAAATATACACAAAAACAAATTATTTTAAATTTCTTTGAAGAATATTATTAAACGTATGTATGTTCATATATGTATGTATGTAATGTTTCTTTTAAAAGGAATAATTTTTAAATAAAGCTGCATATGAAAATGTTTACAAAATAGGATAGAAAACTTACCTTTCTAAACTTATTGCATAACTATAGTACAAAATTATTGTTAAGATATATGTATGTACTTAAATGTTATTGTCTTTATATGTTAATAACATTTCTTATCCTTTGAAAAACATTTGAAAGCGCAAATAAAAGAAACAATATAGTGGGCTTGGTCAATACTGCAAAATTTATGAATTGAAATTATAAGCATATATAAAAAATAAAAATATTTCATAATGAGAAAAAACTTAAAATAATCCAAACTGAAATTTAAAGTTTCAAAGAAAATTTACGAAAAAGTTTCAAGAGTTTAAGAAATTTTATTTGCAATTCGAATCAATGGCAGCAATATATGCATATAATATATGAAATGTTCACGCCGAATTTCTAAATGGTATTATTATAATATATCGTGTACGAGTATATGCATTGCTATATATACGGGAATAATCTTAATAATAAATCGAAAAATTTTAATATACTCATTAGAATATTTTAGAAAATTTGATAACAAATATAAAATTAAGGGTACATAAAAAATAAATGTTAAACACCTACATCGATAATGCAATCAGCACATTTTAAATATCTCGAAATCGGAATCATAATAATACTGTATTAATGCAGAATTCAGCTTATAAATGACAATTGTTGAATTGTGTATCGATACGGTATTATTATCATTCCGATGTCAGAAATATTCTGCTAAAAGTAATTGCCTAAAATACTATAAATAAAAAGGCAATGAGTCACTTTAAAATTTATTTTACATATATAATGTGATAATCATAATTTTTTTTTAATTTTAAATTACTGATGCAGTTTTTGATTAAATATATTATACGAAACATATGAAATTAATGAAATTGTATAGTAATATTAATAAAACCAACAATTAAATGACATCACGTAAGATAACTTTTTGTTCATACTTATAATAAACATTGAGTCTAACCAAATTAAGAAATCAAAACAATTGAAATTATAACATCAGTGTTTATTCATCCGAATCCTAAATTATATTGAGTTTTATAATACATAGTATTTGATATGGTATTTCAATTCTATTTAAGAATGTCAGAAGTATTTCAATATTATAGCACAGTCAGGTCACTATAAAAATTATATTCAATGTTATACACATTAAATATAAAAAAAATAAAAAATTAATATTAACTAATTGCCAATATTAAAAATACCAGCAAAATTAAATAGTAAAAATCAATAACTTTAAATATATAGTATAACGCTACGGAAGGCTTGTCACCTAGTAAACTCATTGACATTAAAAACTGGTTCATTGTTACCTACAATATCGTAAACCAGCTCTATGCTCCTCTAAGAAGCGAGGTAGGAAAGAAAAAAAAATTGCAACTGCAATATGGAACTCAATTAACTGGAAAAAATGTTTGATATTAGAAAAGATTTCAGAAGAATTTTCTCATCGTCATGTGCTAATAAAATAGCTTCTAAATTACTTTTAAAGGTAAGTTATGATACAAATTAAGCAAAAATGTATTATTTTGAAAATTCGAACAAACTTACGATTTTGTGCAAACAGTAATCACATATTCAAAACTTTACCAGAAAGGCACTTTATCTGTACGTAATTGCGGAATGCTGCAAAAATAATTAAAATATCAAATCTGGCACATTAAATTTCAAAATTTAAAGGATACAGGACTATGTATATGATAGTCCAAGTATTTTGCTTACATATTTAATTAAAACTAGGTAATATTATAATTTTCCTTGAAAATTTAAAATTTAATTAAAACGGTAGGGTATAAAATAAATCGACAAAAAATCAACTGAAATATTTTCACTTATTTTCGTTTTATTTTTATTTTTTTTTTTATTATTTCATTTGAAAAATATTACCAATAATTTGCATTCTTCTAACTAAATTATTTATAACAGAAGTAAAAAATTTCAATTATTTGTGTAAATATTAGAAAAAAAAAATAAAGAATTCATTTGCATCCGTTTTGTGTTCACACACAAACTATGTACATATATACATTTTACGTTTATATAACAGAAATTAAATTAGTATAATATAATTTATTTTTCTGTATATGTACATGTGTAGATTCTTATATTTTTATATGTCAATCTACATATTATGTAGAAAATATTTATGTAATTTTTAAATAATCTATAAATATTTACCTATATAATCTATATATGTACATGTATGCCTTATATAATATATAGTATATATATATATATATATATATATATATATATATATAACAATCAAAATAATAAATTTAACACTATATAAATACAATAAAAACGTAAATTTAATTTTTATTTATAATTTCATGAAATTTTCTATATAAATATTTTAAAATGATATTTTATAATAATGTTGAAAGTTTTGAA